TTTTTTCTTGTGTTAATCTCTACATGCTTTTCTTAAGTAGAAATAGTCATAATATATTTTTCTTTGTCTATTAAAAAACATGAAAATTGACTTGCACATGTTTGTTTCGTCTTGTGTTGTGTTCTTCTTTTGTTGTTTGATCCTTAGAAAAACTCCAAAAACATATTATTTGTTGATTAGGTTTAAATTGAGAGGTCTTAATTACTTTTGATCATGTTGTGATATTTACTTGCATGACTTGATACTTGCATGCTAAGAACTCATTATTTGAGTTCTTAAAAGTCAAGATTGGGAAAGTAAGACCATGAATATATCTGAGATTGATAGAGCACTTTATTTGCATGTGCAATTATTGTCTAAGATTGTTCTAATTTAAAATATAAAAGCTAATTGTATCTTAGCAATGAAAACTCCTAACAATAAAAGAATTGGACATGTTAACATCTTAAACCCAAGTAAGAATGACATATCAAGTTCATAGTGTGTACTTGATTAAAGTTTTTTTTTTCCTTTTTTTTTTCACCTTCTTCCAATATAGTCTAATTAAAAGAGTCACTTATGGTTTAAATATTTGAATCTTTAATGGATTACCAACTACCTAAATCCCTATGTACATAAACATCTCTCTACAATGTCTTCAACATTAGTTTTTTAGCATGTGCTATGTGCACTTTGAATTCAAGTTGCACAAATTGTCATGCTAGCGGACTTATAGTAAAATATTTCATTATAATGTTGATTGAATGAATTAATTAAAGTTGTATCTATTTGACTATATGAATGAGATGTAAATAAATCAAGTGTGTATGATTTGATTTATAAACATGTATGAAGGTTTTTAAAAGTCTAACTTAGATGTTTTGTGTGATTGTGTTATTTTATTAGTTATGATGATTGTGACGAGAAAATCTGATGAAGTAGAAAGATATTATCAACGGATTTAGGACAAGGATAAGATAAAAATTGATACTTTGTAGTTTATTATTTCTTTTTTCAAAGATATATATATATATATATATATATATATATATATATATATATTATTTAAATTAATAGTAATATAAATTTTAGTTAAATGTAATGTCTGAAAAGATTTTTGTAAAGGTATAAATTACATCAATTTTATATGAGCAATTATCCTAACAGTATCATATAATTCAAATTGCTTAATTTAATTTATAATTATCTTATATGAATTTCACTAATTTTAATCTATAGTCGTATTTGATCATATATTGTTGATTTTTCCGGTATAAGATTAAAATATATAAAAGGGAAGGGGAATAAAGGTAACGTGAGAAATTTCACTTGTTTCCAGAACATATAAATGCACTATTAATTAGTAAGGTACATATACTTCTGAAAAAAGGATAAATAATAATAAGAGTACAACTACTTATCTTAAATAATGACTTTTGAAGGACCATTGTAGGTAAGTATATTACATAAATGCGAATTTAAAATTTTACAATGTGATTGGATAAAGGAAAGTTAATTTTGCTACTTTTGAATCTTTTTAAGGTAGGTGTATAAAATCAGCGAAATGGAAACATAAGGTTGAAGGTTTCTAGAATTTTAATTATCCTTTCTTTTAAAATTAATAAATTTATATATTTTGTTAAAAATTTCACATATACTATAAATAAGATAAATTTATAACATGTGACAAGTTTTACTTTACAAATTAATTTTGTAGAGTTGATTTGTCTTGAAATTTACTTTTTAAGATAATATAACAACAATTAAAAATTTATTAATCCTAATAAAATTTGTTGTTATTAGATTTAATCGCTCTTGAACACCTTCATACTATTTATTAATGTTTAACCTTTCAATCCAAATGTTTCCATGTGTAGGTAAAAATTGCTTTTAAAATTGACTAAAAATATGAACGAAATAAATTTTCTTAGACGTAAAGATCCACTATCTTTAAGAATTTCTTTGTGATATGTTGTACAAGTCCTCTAGGATACAACAAAAACTTTTTGAATATTGTGAGGATCTAAAAACTACCAAAGAATTCTAAAAAAATAACTATACTAAGGATAAATAAAGAAAGAAAATCTTAGTCACAGGACCAAAGACATCAAAGTAATCTAAGTTGAGTTTTTGAGTACCAAAGAAAATCTTTTGCTACTAATCTTGCCTTATACTTCTTTATGAATCCATCAAGATGATACTTGTTCTTAAAGATCCACTTATAACTAATGTGTTTTTCTCCTTTAGACAAATCTACTCAGGTTCAAGTATTGTTTTTCTGAATTGATTCATTTTCAGTCTTAATGACCTTATCCAATTGTTTTGCATTAAGAGAACTAGTAGTCTCTACGAAGATTGTTGGATCATTATCAACGATATAAGTATAAAAGTCATCTCCGAAAAAAGTATCCTACCTCTGTCTTTTAATTCTTCTCAAATCATCACACATGGCATCACTATTAGTATTTATAGGTTGGTCAGGTGTATCACTAACCTTTAAGTGAAATATATATTCATAAAGTCAACATTTTTTGTCTCCACTATAATATTATGCTCAATTACATCACTTTTAAGAACAATAAACTTATAGACAACACTATGTTTTGCATAGCTTAATAACATACAATAAGAGGTTTTAGAGCCTATTTTCCTTTTCTTAAGATTGGGTAACATTACCTTACCTAGGCACCTCCACACTTTTAGATCCTATTTTATTAATTTCCTTATGAGGCATCTTATTTTGTAAAATATATGTAATAAGAAGGGTTTCTCCCAAGAGGTTATCAAGTGCACTAGAACTAATAATCATGACATATTTACCACCTCTATCTGATATAATCCTTTTAATTTTCTTATTCAATTGGTTCTTTAATTTTGCCTTAATAATTTTAAAACACATGAAAAACTTCATCCTTATGTTTGATTAAGTACACTTTAGTCTATCTAGAATAATCATCTATCAACGTTACAAAATAATTTTTACCACCTCTAGACACGACTTATTTTAAATAGGCTTAAATCATTGTGAATTAAACCTAACAATTCAGTTTAACATTCTACAGAATCATAAGTTTTCTTTGTTATTTTAGATTCCACACATATACCATATTTACTACTTTGTTTATCATACATATTGATTGATCCTACTAGTCTTTATAATTTCATAACATACTAGGAGTTCACATATCCTAATCTAATATGCCACATATCATTTGAGTCAACAATGTAAGCACTTCTATTTGCACAGATGTGCATGGTAGCACTAGAGTCTACCACCCAATTACTCACATTGGTCATAGATTTATTTATGAAATAATTGCAACAATAATATCTTTCCCTTCAACTATATTTGTGTTAGGAAGATTGTCGTTTCTTACTCTACGACTACATTGAGTTGTATGATGACCTGACTTTCCACATATAAAGCAATTTCCTCCTTTTTTAAGGTGTCGTTAGATCCATTGGGATGAGAAGTTCAAAAATTATTTTTCCTTTTATAATCAGGTTTGTTCTTGTACCTTTTTTAAGCAGGTTTCTCTTCTACTATATTTGCTTTTGTAGATAATGCTTTGGTCCTTGTAGTAGAACACTACTTCCTTTTGGTATCTTCGATTATGATGTATGTAATAAGATATGGAAGCAACATCTGCATGTGTCTATGTTTCAATTGTTATTTGTAGTTAGTCTAGGATGAAGGTAGTTTCTCGATTAAAAGTTCTGAAACAAACTCATAAGGCAGAATTATGTTCTCTACTTTGATATCTTCAAGGAGCTTGTGATATTGGTTGATTTAGATCTTAATCTTTAATTATCTCTTGATAGTAGTAATTTCTTATGATGAATCTTTGTTGAATGATGTCTTCAATACTATATTTGAGAATCAACGAATCTCAAATCTCTTTCGCTTTCTTATATGAGTAGTACACATCGAACAAGTAATTAACCAAGACATTAAGTAAGGTATGTTGGCATATCTTGTTCGCAACAGTCTAGTCTTCAACGTGTTTTGTAAGGATACTAAACTCAAGTTTTGAAGATGTGAGAGCGGAACCAATTTCATAAGTGTGTCTAAAAGGATAGAGCCACATTTCTTTTAATGTCAGAAGTTCTGTTCAAAGAAGAAATCACTTTTTGACATATCTAAAAATAGTTTTTGAGCTCCAAAAACAATGTTTTGAGTTTTTAAATTTGGATTGTAGTTGATATCAACCATAGATCCTTAATATTATTGTTAAAACTTATTAAATTAGATTTTTTGAATTGTGTAAATCTATTGTTCTTATGGACTTGTAATTTTTAAAAATCTCAAAAATAGAAAAAAAAAGGAACTTTGAAAAACAATAGATAACTAAATCCAGGTAAAGAAAGATAAAAGAGGAGATAAGAGAATGAAAGGGGAAGAGAAGAAGTGTGAATTGTGTTGTATATTTATGGAGGAAGCAAAAGATCTATTTATAATGGTAACAAGCTAAATGTTTCCTTAGCTCCTGCGGAGGAGGTAGCAAAAGTTTATCGATTCCCATGTCATCTAAAACCACTCCATTATTGCAGGACAATACGTGTCTTTATCCTTTGAAGACGATGGATATATTTGTACGCAAAAGCCCACGAAGATCTCGTTCTATAAGTTTTGGGATTTTATACTTTACAATATATAATACCTTATAAAATTAAACTATAATTATATTTCTTAAAATATATTTTAAAGATTTGCATAAAAGAAAATATAAAAATGAAGCGAAAAAGATTTTTATGAATTCAAAATATTGCAAATATTGGATATTGCTTAAACTCATGTTTCACATCTCCATCAAACAAAATATTAAGTATTATTTTGTGATTGATTCAAAAATTATTTCACAGTTAATAATAATAATCATAAACACTAACGTTAATAATAATAATTATAAACACTAACATAGACACATTAATGATGTTAAAATGTTGTCAATTATAAGTATTATTATTTAATAATATATATATATATATATATATATAAATAATTGAGTACTGTGTATTTCTGAGTGAGTGAGTAGCTTTGCAGCCTAAATCCTGACCCCATTGAAGCATAACTCACCTTACAAATCAAGCAACCTAACCTACTCACCATCACCTTACTCTTTCTTTCCTCTTTTGCCCCAAACAACCAAACACACTCTTTTTTCACATCACACATTCCTCTTTTCCTCATCACAAATTCTCTCTCCCTTTTCATCTTTTTCTTCACACAAACAAAAAAAAAATGAACTTTGGAGACACCACCAACACCTTCACCCTCACCACCACCCCCACAAAACAGGAAACCAGTAACAACATTCTTTCCTACTCATCATGCCTACAACCTACTAATCTTCTTCCTACTCCTAATTCTATCCACATCACCACGCCGCCACCGGACAGTTACGCCGCCGCTCACCGCCGCCAACTATACGCCAGAGAAGGGTCTCACGTGCACTGGGACCCTCACCTCACGTGCTTGCATCTTGGTAAGAGACATTACTTTGAGGATGTTACCATCGATGATGTTAGTAAATATAATAATAATGGTAATAGTGTTGCCACTCTGGGGAAACCACACGTGTGCCGCGTTGGTGGTGGTGTTGTTATTTCGGGGAGCCGACACGTGGGCGCTGACGATGGTGATATCACACTGGGGAATCGACACGTGTACGGCGGTGATGGTGGTGCTGGTTACTTTTTACAGGGCAACGATAAGAGAGCGCGGGGGTGTCATGGAGGAGCTGCCGGTGGGGGTGGCGGTGGCGGGAGCGTGAAAACGGCGGCGTTAGGGATGGTTCCGAGGTGTCAGGTGGAGGGGTGCCACGTGGCGTTGGTGAATGCGAAAGAGTACCATAGGAGACATAGAGTTTGTGATATGCATTCGAAGGCACCCAAAGTTGTGGTGTTGGGTTTGGAGCAGAGATTCTGTCAGCAGTGTAGCAGGTAACTTTATCATCGTCTTTTTCTTTTTTATTTTTTTATTTTCAGATTAAATTCATGCATAAGCTTTTAGTATTTTTTTATATAATTTTTATAAATAAAGATTAGAGTTTTGCTTTCTTTCACCTGAGTAAAATATTAAACAGTTAATTAATTTATACCGAATAAAATGGTTAATTATTTTCGATTAATTGTGAGCTTTAATTTAGTCCCCTTGAATAAAAAATGGAAATTTTCATTTAGTATATGATGTTGATTTTATTATTAAGATATAGGGTTAAATATGTTTTTAGTCCCTAAACTATTGGTCGTTTCTGGTTTTCATTCCTCTTTCAAAGTAAGGTACAATTTGGTCCTCATTCTTTTCGAAACGTTCGTNACATCATTAGCACTTTTAACGTCGTAAGCGAAAAAGACCAACTTGAATCATTTTTACAAAATATGTGGAACAATTATGAAGATCTATAAAAAGTTAGGACCATTTTGAATACTTTAACCAAACAAGGACCAAAATAGGTATTAAACCTAACCAAATTGTTCCACCATAGCTGCGTTTTAGGTTGCCTTAGCAGCCACTCTTTCATCAACATCTAACATTCGGTTTACAAAGATGTTTTTGTTTATGTCTAATCTTACATCTTTCAAGAAGACCTCCTGTGATGCTAGAGTTGAAGTCTTTTTTACATATTGAATTGGTAGAACTGTTGAAAGATAATGAAAAATGTTTTATAAAAAAAATTCTACAAATAAAAATAAATTAATGATAAAAGAAAATAAAAATAAGTTTTTTTTTTAATTATAAACGAAGGGTTTATGTCATTAAATACTTGAAATTGATAAAATCAGACATTTGCATGTGAAAATTATAGTACATCATTTAAACATAGTTATACAAATAAAAGATGTGTAATTAAGATTTGTAATACGAGGAAATGTAAGTTGGTTGTGTGTGGATATAAAATAAACCAAACAATTATAATAGAGAAGGAAAATGTATGTATGTAGTAAAAAAAAAAAAAAGAAAGATTACGAAACTAAATATTAAGAAAATAATATATATAGTATCTTAAGTTATTTAATAAATTATGAATATTTTTGTAATTTAAATATGAAAATGAAAATTAGTATTGGGACATGGATGAGGTGAATTTATAAATGTTCCTCTTTGTCCTCACATTGAATTAAAAAATATAGAGTATTATTCATAATGATACTCGTACTCATATTCAATTAAAAATATTGGGTAATATTTATACTCATGTATATATTCAGTTAATGTAAGAATTTTCGGTCAAAACAAAATTGGATTTAAGTCATATTCCTTTAATTAACAACTCATTAAAAATAGCATTAACGCTATAGATAGGATTATGATGTAAAATCATCCCGCAAATTCCTATAAAATCATCTTAAAGGTCCATTAAAAATTAAATGTTGATTGCTCTCAAAAGGTAGATACACTTTGAGAACTTACAATTCAACAAATTCATTAAAAACCAATTGATAAATTAGACATAACTCTCAATTTTTTTCAATTATCTTTCATTACATAACTCTAGTAATAATAATTTTGTCCAAAGGAATGCAAATAGTTCTCGTTTTCACTAATCATATTTAATTACATAACATAATGAAAAATAACAAAAGAAAAAAAATACACAACAAATCATTTGACCAAAAAATAAACTAAATTGGATGACCAAAATCAAACTATATCATAAACGAAAATAGAGAACAAATGATTATGCGTGAAAATACAAGACATCAACAAAGATATAAATATATAAATATGACAATATCATAAAGACTAAACTAATTAATTTTATTTGTCTAAAATTCTCATTTCTTAAGAATCGATCTTGATGGTAATTTATAAACACCATTTTCTCTTAACCTATATGTGCCTTTTAAAATCAAATATGAGATAGAAGCATTAAGCTCTAAAAAAATAATACCTTGAATTTTATGGTTGCATTTAACAATGTTATCTCAAGCAAATTTGAAATTGAAACATGGAACTTCTTACAATATATTGAAATCTCACGTTAGTTAGAGATCAAAATTAGACATAATTTGATTTTGAAAAGAATCGTTTTAATTTTAAAAAGATGCAATATGCATAATTACCTCGCAATTCAATATCACGAGTGCAGCTCAAATCCAATTAGTAAGCAATTAACAAAACTAATGCTTTGTGTTAGGAATGGAAAGTGAAAGACTGATTTGTAGTAAATGAAAAGTCAAGTGATTTGGTTAATGGAAAGACGATGGATTTGAGTAAAAACTATATATTGGTAATCTAGTTAATTTGATTGAATTAATTAAAATTGGTATCATTTATAGTTTAATGTCAAAATTGCTTTAACATATATTTTTCAAATATAAAATTTTTATTATAAAAAATTAGTTCAAAAAGTAGAAAAAATTATTTCTTAAAAATATTAATTATTTAAAAATATTTTTTAACTTCCAAAAGTGTTATTATTCTTTTAAAAAATATCCAGTAAATTGATTTATTATAAAAAAAATCAAATATCAAATATAGAGAGGTAAATTAGTAATTTACAAAATAATACTAAGAAATCAACAACTTTCTCCTCATTTCACATTTCATCCTCTCTTACAAAAGCTTTTTAACAAATCCTCACATATCACCTTAATCAAAGTAGAAACAATTCTTATAAATCATCTCAAATTAATTCCACGAATATCCATAAATAATATATCATACATAACAATTAATAACTAACCACAATTAGATATGTTAATTTGTTACACTCCATATTGTTGGGNAGAAACGGCCAATAGTTTAGGAACTAAAAACATATTTAACCCTAAGATATATAATACTAAAAAGTTAAATTTCACTCTCACATTTACACAAAATTGTAACGTTATGGAATTTACTTTTGTGTGTTTTTTTAAATATTTAGTGACTAAATCAGATTTTAAACAAATGTTACCATTTTAATTTGTTTTAGAGCTCAAAATGGTTGATTATCTAATTATTTGTAATCAATTATCTTTGATTGACCTAAATTACGTTAATGATGTTTACAAAATGTAGGTTTCATCTGGTATCAGAGTTTGACGACTCAAAGAGAAGTTGCAGGAGAAGATTAGCAGGCCATAACGAAAGAAGAAGAAAAAGCTCTCACCTTTCTGTTACCAGAAGTTCTAGACAAGGTAAAAACAACACATTACATTATATTTCTCAGTTAACTAACATAAAACTGAAGTTTAATGATGGTAGTTGAGCTATGACATTAAGCTGGTTTATTTTAATATCAGTTTGTATGGTAAAAGTGTGATACATGATGAATTGAGAAGCTACGTATCAGAAAACATAAAAGTTGAACGAAGCCGATACAAACAGAAGCAGCCAATAAGATGGATAGGTTTTGACCTCAATGATTTTGTGGTAACTTGAATGAAAATTAAGATGATCCTAACATGAAATTTGCCTTTTGTTGATTTGACATGGTATGTTCCTATGGGAAGAACAAAATGTGATGGTTGGAGGGTTGTGAATGATGTTATTATGCAGGGTGTGCTCTCTCTCTTCTGTCATTTGAGAGCAGTGATAATTGGTGGTCTCATTCTGATCTCTCCACAAGATGCAGTGCAGCATTGCGTGAACTCATAGCAGAAAACCGTGCTGCCCTAATCACAAGACAACAACAGCAACATGTTTATGTTGTGCCCCACCATGATGATGATGCACTGGATGAACTAGAGTTTGTGGAGATACAACCTCAGTCCAATTATTTTCCTCATCACATGTTTTCCCAGACACAAGAATAATGATTCTGTTCTGATATTGCTGCTGAGGTGACCCTGAATCTGATTTTGCATGTTGAAATGCAAGTCTGAGTCTAATAAGTTTCACAATAAGAGAAAATAGTGTCGATTTTTTATATATTTGGCTCAAATGTTATTGGTATTTGTACGTAATCTTTTTCTCGATCGATCCAACATTTTTCACTATGCATGCTTTGTTTCAATGTTCCAATTCTTTTGTTTGCTAAAAATAAGAACTTCTTTCCATGGTGAGATTGTAGAGTACTAGCCAGTTATGAATGGTGATTTGTCAAGTATTTTGCTGCAGATTCTGTGTTTCTTTAGAGTGATCGATAACAAAAAAATAAAATAAAATAAAATGTTAAAGTTATTTAGATGAAGTAATTTACAGTGATTTGCACGTACATATATGAGGGGTTGAACTGGTTTGAATACGTGTCTAAACACAGATTCGATAATTTGGGACGTTGAATTTTGTTTAATGACTATGTTTTGATGTTTACATGCATGTTTATGGTTAAAGCTGATTTAAAAATTTAAATTTGTAGAATTTTATAGGTGGGTATATTTGTTAAACATGTTCTCAACACATTATCTTTAAGATAAAATAATTGGTTGGTCTTCGTATTGTTTGAAAAAATCTTTATTTTTTCATATTTTGATTAATTGGGTTTTATTTTTTAAAATGTTATTTAATTTGGTCCGTTTAGTTAATACTATACTAATGATTTAACTTATGTATCACATGTCAAGTAGTAGTCTTTTTTTAAATATTTTTATAAGTTTTTTAATTTAAAAAATTGTCATATATTAAGTAAGTGTATTGGCATGTAACAAAGATAGTGTGTTATTAAAATGTTAAACATTATATAAAAAATTTTAATTTATTTTGGTATTTATTATTTTGATTCAATATTAATTATTTTAAAATAGATTAATTTTATTTTTTCTAAATTAAAATCTAATTTAATTTTTATATAAATATTAATATTTTTATTAAATATTTTTAATAAAATTATGTTTATTTAAATTTATATTTTATATTGAGTTTTATTTAAATATAATTTTAAAATATTAAATGTAAATTATTTGACACATAGATAAAAGAAATCTACATTAAAGTATGGTATAATAAAATATCAATACAAATAAATTCAAAATTTTAAAACAAAATTTAAATAAGTTTAATGTGAAATATAAATTTAAATAAAAAATTAATCTTCTTAAAAATATTTAATAAAAATATTAAATAAAAATATCAACATAACATTTATATAAAAATAAATAAATTTGAATTTAGTTTAAAGATGAAAGAAATTGTTTCATTTAAAAAAAAATAATATAGACTGAACTAAATCAAAATAATAAATATAAAAGTTAAATTGAAATTTTTCCGGTAACGTTAGAATAATATTTAATATGTTACTTATTACATTTCATACTTGACAAAACGCTACTTGACATGTAACAAAATGTTTTTTAAATTAAAAATATAAAAAGTAAAAAAAATCAAACTATGAATTAATACATGAGATATAAATTAATATTTTTAATAGAATATTAACGAAAATAATGAAATTGTATTATATTTTTAAAAATACGAATCCAATTTAATATATATATATATATATAT